CCTATGGGGGAGCCAGCCACACACAGCTGCCCTGGGAGTTGTGTGCCTTAGAGGCTACAGCACTGGAACAGCAGTCAGGAGCTCGACTGGGTTGCTCTGTGCCTCAGTTTCCCTTCTGTGACACTGCGCTGCTCACTGGGATATGGGCTGCTGAGACGTGCATTATAAGAGCTGGAAATGATGCTTACACTCATAGATCATCTATTTTTGCCCCTTTGAACGACCAGCGTAGACCCTACCCCAGACTCCCCCTGCCCAGTCGTGTACCCTTGTCTTTGAATGAGTGGGTATCATAGTATTTGTAGTCACCCTTGGCACCGCCAAGGATACCAGCTGTTGCCAGTTGTCTTGGGCACTTCCTGTAGCATCATCCAGGCAGCCTGCCTAAAGAAGTGTCGGGGAGGGTTCTTTCTTGACAGCAATCCAGGAACTTGCCATTGATGTCCTCGGAATACCTGTAAAATACCGGGGGACAAGCAGATGGACCAATGGGTCCCCAAGGCCCTAAGAAACTAACTCAACTGCTCCTCACTTCCCACAGCTCCTGATGGGTCATTGCCAAAGATGGAAACGCTGGGGGGAGTTCTGAGCATGAGAACCAGGAACTCGTTGCATGCTTGGTGGTGTGAATCAGCAGTGGCCTGGTGCGAGGAGGCAGCCTGTTTCGGGAGGTGCTGTCACTCAGATTAGTTGGAAAACCAGCGTCTTGCCCATCTGCGCTCCGTGAAATCCCATGGTGCTTTTCACAAGGGGAAGGCTCTTCGCCTGCCAACCTAGCCCCCTTCCCCAGCTATGAGTTACTCCATTCTGCCTGCCGAGAATGTCTCTCCCCCCTTCACCCCCACCCCCACGTGCGTTCAAATGAGCAAGATTCATTTCCTGCTGGAACACTGCAGCACGAGGCTTGTGTGCTGCCGGGCACTTCGTGCGAGGGCAGCGGGAGAAGTGAGTCCAGTGTGAGTAGCCCTTTGGGCTCCTTGCAATGAGAAGCCCTCCCTGTTAACAGGAATCCCCCACTGGCGGGGGATGCGGGGGCCAGTCCCAACCCCGATCAAGGGGCAGGTGGGTTTTAACGAACCTGGGCTGTTTCATTCAGCGCAGGTTTTGAGGGTCACCCCCCCCAACATGGGGTTGAGTGTGGCTGTTCCCACCTGACTGTTCCCATCATGGCTCTGTGCCCCCCTCCCTCAATTCTTTTTCTTTCCCTTCCCCCGAAGGTTGATTTTCCACATCCCGCTCCGATGGATTCTGGCTATTGCTTGAAGGCCTCTCTGTCCTGCAAGGGAATAGACTACCACGGCCACCCAATGCTGAAAACATTAGCCCAGGGTAATGGCTCCTTTCCCCCTGCCCCTCCCTTGCAGGGGGCCTTCTGCCTCCATCCCATGGCTGGGATTGGAGATCTCTCCGAGCTTTGAACCGCCGGTTCCATTGTGAAAAAAATCCTCGGTTCATAAAATCATAGAATCATAGGACTGGAAGGGACCTCGAGAGGTCATCGAGTCCAGCCCCCCGCCCTCAAGGCAGGACCAAGCTCCGTCTACACCATCCCTGACAGATGTCTATCTAACCTGTTCTTAAATATCTCCAGAGAGGGAGATTCCACCACCTCCCTTGGCAATTTATTCCAATATTTGACCACCCTGACAGTTAGGAATTTTTTCCTAATGTCCAATCTAAACCTCCCCTGCTGCACTTTAAGCCCATTACTCCTTGTCCTGTCCTCAGTAACCAAGAGGAACACATTTTCTTTGCAGCTGTGGGTGGCCATCAGTGAATGGCCCGGCTTCGAAGGCACAGCCCTACCGGATACTGCCCACCCCGCCAGACACCCCTGAGCATACCCAGCACGTGCTCAGGACCTTTCAGGCCAGCTTCCTGGCGTCGAAAGGACGGGCACGCCAACAGATTTCTCTCCTTCCTGTGGCCTTCTCCAAGCGCATGGTGCCCTATGTATGTTCAGATCTGTGCACGTGTTCCTCTGGCCCTGGGATCATGAAAATGGTCCATTATACTGCGGGTGTGCCAATGGCAGAGCTGAGCGAGGGAGGATTACCTAGATCTTCCTGCCGCTAGATGCAGCGCAAACAGCATGGCACAAGTGCAAACCTTGTCTTTAATACCGCTACTGCCTTGCTGCATTCCCATGGGACAGCTCACTCGGCGGCTGCCTCGGTAGCACAGTAGAAATTACTTTGTAACTTTCCTGTAGTTCTATTTATTTTGCATGGACACTCTGAGCACTAACTGAATGAGCCTTCACTGGTAAACAGTGTTGGGGATTTCCTCGTTCCTTTCAGTGCTCTGCAGACGCAGCCTCTCGAGGTATGTCTAGACTGCATCTCTCTGTCGGCAGAGGGATGCAGATTAGGCAGGTCGACGTTGCAAATGAGGCAGGGATTTAAATATCCCGTGCCTAATTTGCATAAAAATGGCCACCGCGTTTTGCCAACTCAACACTTTGTCAGCAAAAAGTGGCCATCTAGAGGGGGGTCTGTATAGAAAGAAAGCCTTTTTCGACAGATCCCTTATGCCTCCTGCAAGGAGGTTTACAAGATCAATCGAAAAAGGCTTTCTTTCTATACAGACCCCCCTCTAGATGGCCACTTTTTGCTGACAAAGTGTTGAGTTGGCAAAACGCGGTGGCCATTTTTATGCAAATTAGGCACGGGATATTTAAATCCCCGCCTCATTTGCAACGTCGACCTGCCTAATCTGCATCCCTCTGCCGACAGAGGGATGCAGTCTAGACATACCCTCGATGGACAACACACACCCCACTAGACCAAACCACGGCAGCACTTCTCGCCGACTTCCATCACGACCCATCCAACCCGCACGTTGCTGAGGCCCAGAATTTGACCTCCCCTGGGGTTTTTTTTTATTTCTTATGTTGATTGGCAAAATCAGTGTCCAAGATTTCCAAGAGAGGTGAGTGACTGTGACTCCTGTGTGCCCCTGAAAATCTCTGTGCCCCCTGCCACAGTGTGAAGCTAGAGAAAGACACCCAGAGTCACAGGCCTCTTGAGAGGAACTTGGCACAGGTCACTCTCAAGTAAAACATTTCACCTCAAAGCCTTCATTGTTCTTTTGTCCTAAAAGTAATTTATCAAGGGCCAGGGGGTGGGGAAACCTAGCCAATGCCAGAGCTCCCCTCAAAATAAGCCCTCCAATGACAAAAGTGCCCAAGACCAACAACAGGAGCTAAGTGTGTGTGTGTGTGTGTGTGTGTGTGTGCATGCGCCCAGGCCAACAACAGGAACTAGGGGGAGGAGGGTGTGCACACCCACGGCCAACAACAAGAACTAGGGATGTGTGTGTGTGTGTTCTGGATGCAAAATACAGAACAGAATAATACATGCATTTGGATGATGCGTTTCATGAAACCTATGTGTGGTTTTTTTGGGGGTGAGGGAGAAAAAGCGTATTCCCCCAACATCAGCTGGTCCCCGCTCTAGATAAAAGACGTGGCAGAGTTGACTCAGGACAGCGTGGGCAAGAGGACAATGCAAAAGAAAAGAGCGCAGAAGAGCCTGACTCCCAAGGAAGAAAAATGGGTGGGGAGGGGAGAGGTTGGAATAAATTGTGTTTACAATTTAGAAATTCATTCAGTCAGTCAGCTGGGTTTAGCCTTGTACCTTCATAGAAGCCTAACAAATGTGCCTGTATGTTAATATTAACACCTCCCTGCAGATAACACCGTGGGGATCACTGTACGCTACTGTCGTAGCAACCTCGGTGGAGCCGTAGTGCTAATGGAGGTCATGAACACTTTGTGACACCGGTTCCCCGATGTCTAAACCAAGACCTGATTCCCAAGCTACAGGAAACAACCTGTGAATAACAAAGAGCAGCACAACCTTCCAACGGCCAAGAGATCCGGGGAGACCACATTAGAGCACTCTTGTGTCCGGAAGATCCGTCTCGAAGGAAAGGGACCGATCCTGGCAGGTGGTAAGCAAAGTGCTTTAAACAGGTGAACAGACCCCCCTGGACTCCCGGCGCTGTGATTCGGGCCCACCCAAACAATCCCCATTCTGGGCTCTTTAAAATGCTGCCTGTTCTGGAGAACAGTGCGGTTATTCAGTGAGATTTACCGCACAGCGGGAACGTTAAGGTCCAAAGACTGCAGATGCAATTCCTGGGGGGACTGGCTTTCACATGGCACCTGGCCCAACCTTCAACTCCTAGAACTTGACCTGGGGTTCAGCTTTGACCTCCCCCTTCCCTCATGAGGATGACGAGAAACAGACAGAGAGACTGGAAAGATGGTGTCGGCTTGGTTGGTGTCAAATAATTATCTTTTATTACAAGAGGTTCATCAGATTGCTCAGACTGTGGGAAGAATTTAATAATAAAAGGCACAGGGGAACATTTAGAGGCATTTAGGTCTCACCCTGCGAGATCTAGCCGTCCCTTGTAAGTCTTTGGGGACCCGCGCCGGAACAACCCCCACTCAAACGCAGCAAAATGCAAGCACCATAGAGGCTGCCAAGCAAAGCAAAAGCTTGCTTGTCTATGTCACACACATCTCGCCGATCTGGTGCTGCACCTCCCCATCTTCTCTGAGGTGCGTCTACACTGTGCCGTAGGTCGAAATAAGAGACCCAATTTGAACTCCGCGTCTCTTGTTTCAATCTTATTTGGAAATTTGGCACTGTCTACCCAGCACTTCTTTCTAAATAAAATTCTGAAATAAAGTGCTATTCCAAAACGTCCCTTATGCCTCGTGGAATGAGGTTTACAGGGACGTCGGAATAGCGTGCCCGTGATATTTCGAAATAATGGGTGTGCTCAAAAGATGTGGAATGTGAGCGTGACAGAGGCGGTGACGGAACCGACGTGGCGGGGGAACGTGCAACATTGCGAAAGCCACGGAGAGTGTTGTTTCAACGACAGCAGCATCACAACAGCAAGGTCAAATAGAAATGCCACCACCAAACACACCAGCACCAAAATCTAACTTTAAAGCGTGGAAAACACAAGACCAGTACAATCACTGAGGAATAATAAAGCAGGTAGCATTTTCAAACCTTTATTTTAGAGGGGATTTTACATGATGAGTCTTTTTTAATTTGTGCGTTTTTTTCCCCAAAAAGCTATTTGTGCCCAATTATTTTTAAATTCAAGCCCTGGGAATTTAAATGTTGCCATTCTGAAAGCTCAGTTTCTATCCCATTCCATTCTCTATCCTCCCTAACAGGAACTGAAATCCAGCACCCCAAATTTCACCACCAATCGCTCCGGTAAACTTCGGAAAGCCCAATCTTCTAACATCCTCTGGATACACCTTCCCTCACTTGCCTTTGGGAAATCAGGGAGTTAATCCTCTGGGATGGCTTTGCTCTACATGGTAAGATCTGAAGAACGTGTTAGTATGGAGTTTGAGAAGAAAATCCAAGCGAGGATAAGAAGAGGGAGGAGCTACTTAGCACAGGAACAGAGTTGGTTAGTGTAACATTGTTTTCCAATCAGAAAACAGAGAAGAACACTCTGAAATTGACAAGTTAGCAGATTATTCTAGTGGTATTTCATTAGGCTACTAACAATAAGTTGTTGTTTCTTTTAGCACCGTTAATATACGTGTAGATCTATATTAGCACCTTGTCCCCAGGGGAAAAAACAAAACAAAAAAAGGTTTAAAAATAAAAGGAAAGAGGAGGTAAAAAAAAAAAAAAGGAGGCAACAGAGAAGGAAGCTGCTGGTTTAGATCACAAGGTCCTTGTCAATGTCCTCTGCAAAAGGAGAGAGAGAGAAGAATTAAAAAAGTCATCGCTGACATTTGGAATGTGCTGCATGTAACCCAGGCTAATGCTGTGTGGGTCTTTGTCCCCCTCTGTTGACGTTTGTCCCCCCACAGAGACGTTCATGACCAGTGTTCCCTGAAAGCTGAGCGCTTGGGCAACTGCCCAGGAGAGATTCAAATGCTGCCCAGCATGTTTCCATTGGTGGTGCACATCTGCACATGCCGTGGTGCACAGAACAAAATTCATTCCACACAAAAGGAGGAAGAAAAAAATGAGAGGGAACATTGGTCATGACTACCACTGCTATCAAGCTAGCGGACGCATCCCTGTTCTGACTCCGTTCATGTGGAATACAAAGGCTGGAAAGGCATAAAGGGGCTCAAAAGGAGGAGGAGGATTCCCCCAGGGCAGGCCCTGTGCATGACATCCCATGCAAGTTCTGGAATCCCTGGGAATTAGGATCTACAGGGGCAGTGTCTGCCACGTGAGCGAAAGCGCCCATCCTGAGAGCCTCGTGCCGCACAGAACTCGGCGTTCGGGGGAGAAGGGAGTTCAAGTGGCTTTCAATTGAGCCCGTGCGATATGCTCTGTGGCTCAGGAGTTCCACGTCGTCCTTGTCAAACAGGACTAGCATTGACGTGCGCTAGATCCCCTTCCATTCAGACCTACCCCGGGCAGATACAGGGCAGCGTGCTGTCCCCCGCTGCAACTCCCACCCCGGTCCTCGGAACGGCGGGGCCACGCAGGCAAAACGCCGTCACGCTCACTCCAGAAGGGGCGGAGCTGAGCCCCCGCTGAGCACGCGTGACACTCCCACCCCGGAGGAACCGATCGATATTTTTGTTCCTGTCCTGTTGCCTGAGCTCCTAGGATTTGACCAGCCCTGTGTGTGGCCGGGGCAGAAGTCACTTTCAGCGGGAGAGGGGTTTGGGCAAGCAAAGGCGTTTGTGATCTTCTTGCTGTTTCATATGGGCCATGCGCTTTCCGGGCTCAGAGCAGGACCAGACTTTATAAGTGGTGCCCAAACCGCCCTCTGCTGGCCCCTGGCTTTGATCTGCCTTGGCCACCTCCTCCTCTTCCACAGGGGCCCCGGAGCGCTTGTCTTCGGGGCGGTCCCACCCTTCCTGCCCCTTCCCGCCCTGCCCCCAGTGCCCGCCGGGCCGGGGAGGACAGCGACTTACTCTCCTGGATGCCGAAGCAGCTGGCCCATTCCTCCAGGGCGATGTACTTGTCGTTGTCCAGGTCGCACTCCTCGAAGAAGCGGGTGGTGCAGTGCTCCATGGGGATGAGAGGGGCTCGGAGCGGGGCCAGCTCGGTGTGGGACAGGTACCTGCCAGGAGAGCGAGCGGCTCTGAGCCGGGCCGGAGGCCCCCCAACATGGCCACTCTCGGGGGCGGGGAGCGCCATGGGACCCTCCGTCACTCCCTCCCTCTGGCTGGGTGTGACTTGTGGTACAGTAGGGCCGGGGGCAGGGCTAGCGGAAGGGGACAAGCAGTCTTCACGGGGGCCATTCCCCGGGGCTGCTGGGCCCTTCTGCTTCGCCCTCTCCCCTCATCCCGTCCTCGCACCGTCCCACCCAGGAACCCGCTCTGGGCCTGCTCCAGGGCCCCCCTGAGAGTCCTTCCATTGGCTCTGGTCAGCGGGTTGTGTGGCCCCCCGTCTCCTCCTTGGGGTCTGGCTCAGAGCAAAACCTTCCCTTGGAAACCTGTCCCCCATGAGGCTCGGGTGTTCCCCGCCCACCGGAGCCAGCCAGGGCTAATCCAGCAGCAAGACCCACGGGGCGATTAGCCTGTCACGGCCCCTCATGCTGGGGCCCGTCGTGGCTCCAGAGACGGCAGGCCCGGAGCAGCGCTCCGAGGGTTAACGCAGGCGAACGGAGCCCCCCTCTGCTCCGTGTATTTATAGAGTCTTGTCACTCGCATCTTCGCAGCAGGGCTGGGCATCCTCTTCCAGGCCCAGCCTGTTCCTTCCTGCTCCCTGCCCCTGCTGTGACCCACCCCGGTCTGGAGCCGAGCCAGGCAGCATGCTCTGCCCACTGTGCCTTGGATGCCTCCACCCCTGGAGCCAGGGGCCCCAGCCAGGGGCGGTGGTTGGGAGCACAGCCCCCCTGTAGCCACGGCTGGTGTTGGGAGCACAGATCCCTGTAGCCATGGGCTGTGGTTGGGAGCACAGACCCGTTGCAGCCGTGGACCATGGTTCAGAGCACAGGCCCCATGCAGCCGTGGGCCGTGGTTGGGAGCACTTGTGACTGACCTGGGTGTGAGCCCAGCAAGCCAGCCGGGCACGGACAGAGACTTAGCCCCTCGACCCAGCAGGAAAGGGGGTTCCATACCCATCAATGGGGTGCTGGTCCAGTTGGCCGAACTGCCAGTGCACGGGGAAGATGTACATGTTGTAGTTCTTCTCGAAGTCGCGGGCCAGCAGCTCCATAGGGTGGTTGCCGGCTTCTAGGCGCTTCTCGTTCTCGTGGATCTTTTTCACCTGGGGAGCCAGAGACTCAGGCAGCTGCTGGGTGAGTGGGAGCCACGCTCCTATCCCGTCACTGTCAGAGGGGGGCAAAGGGGCTGGCCGGGTGGGGGGATGCTCCAGGTCAGAGGTGGGCAACCTACAGCTGAATGCGGCCCATGGGGTTCTGGGTGTGGCCTGCGAGACATTTGTGACCGTGGCCCACCCACAGGGCTGCCAGATTCCGCTGGTTTCCGTCCGTGTCGTTTTTTCCTACCCGTGTCACGAAAGTGACCCCCATGTAAAGCAAAGGGCACGTGACATGAGTGGGCTGCTGGCTGCACACAGCACTGAGGCTACGTCTAGACTGCGAGGATCTATCGGAAAAAGATATGCAACATGCGCTCTGCATTTTGTGTATCTTTTTCTGATACTTTTGTCAGAAGAGGCTTTTCTAAAATTTGGCCCATGTAGAGTAGGCCAAATTTCGGGGGAAAAACCCTCTTTCGAAAGTCCCCTTCTTCCTTGTGGAAGGAGGAATACAGGGGCTTCCGAAAGAGCGCGTTCGCTCTTCTGCAGAAAAAAGCGGAAGAGCAAATGTGTTCCTTGGACGCAGTGGATACCCCCGCCCCTGCAGTTTAGCTGTACCCTGAGTGTGAGAGCCGTGAGCTCCCTCTGCAGCCGATCAAAGCACAGCTACGTTCCATCGGCCCATCCTGTAAACTCTAGGTACGCCAGCGCAGTCAGCAAAACTGTTGTATTCTGGGATAGCGTCTTGGTTGGGACAATCTTGCTGAGATGGAGGAAGGCCTGTCGTGCAGCCGACTCACTAGCCTAGGCTGCCCATCGCTGTTTTAGGAAGATGGAGAGCTGATGAGGAAGATTATTACTCGTGTGTGTGTGTTTGTTTGTGTTTGTGTATTGTATGTGTGTAAGTGTGTGTGTGTTTGTGTGTAAGTGTGTGTGTAAGTGTACGTGTGTTTATGTATTGTGTGTGTGAGTGTGTAAGTGTGTGTGTTTGTGTTTGTGTGTAAGTGTTTGTGTGTTTGTGTTTATGTATTGTGTGTGAGTGTATGTGTGTTTGTAAGTGTGTGTGTGTGTTTGTGTATTGTGTGTGTGTGTAACTGTGTGTGTGCTGTGCGGTGGTGGGGTCGGGTCGCTCACTCGGGTGGTCTGGGTGTGCATACAGCCGCCTGCAGCTAGGCTGGGATTCAGGGGCGCACTAGCGTGTGCAGGCTAGACTCCACATAGGCACTAGCGTGTGCAGAGCTGGACAGCGTGTGACGGGCGGGGTCGGGCCCCTGCGGTCGCCAGGGCACACGCACGGCCGGGGCGTCCGCTCACCTTGAGCTTCTGCTTCTCCGTCAGCAGGTTGTTGTCCTCGTCGCGCTCGTACAGGGTGACCAGCACGTTCTTGAGCCAGTCGCGCATACGGAGGGGGAACTCGGTCAGCTCGGTATCCAGGCAGGGGGGGATGTCTGAAACGCCAGCAGAGAGCCGTGAGCGCGGTGCCCGGCCTGGGCCTCTCCCGGGGAGCCCTGCCCAGCTCCGCAACCGTCCCCCGGCAGCGGCCGCTCCCACCCTGCCGTGGGAGCAGGAAGGCTTCGCCTCGGCTCTGTTGCTTGCTGTAGCCGGGGGGCGGGCAGCCTTGTTTGGGCCGGGGGCCGCTGACCCACAGAAAAATCAGTCGGGGATACAAACAAGTAAGAAGCAAAAAAAAAAAACAACCCACCCCCACCTCACTGACGTGGCCCCGTCTGAGAAGCAGAAAGACCCTCCCCACAGTCTCCTCACACCACATCCCAGCGGGGGGGCCCAGACAAACAAGTAAGAAGCAAAAAAAAAAAACAACCCACCCCCACCTCACTGACGTGGCCCCGTCTGAGAAGCAGAAAGACCCTCCCCACAGTCTCCTCACACCACATCCCAGCGGGGGGGCCCAGGCTAGTAGATTTTGTGGGCCCCCACTAAGCTGTGGGGTGGGGCCAAAAACGAGGGGTTCGGCGTGTGGGAGGCAGCCGCTGGGCTTGCCTGACTCCGGCTCGCGGCTCAGGGCTTCGCTGCTGCTGGCGATCTAGCCCTGTGGGGAGCTGCTGTGGGGGTGCTGCAGGGCTGCAGTCCCACCAGTGGCTCTCCGATGCTGGGGGGAGCTTCCGGGGGCTGGATCCAGGCACGCTGGGGCCTGATGTGTCCCCCGGGCCTTAAGTTCCCCACCCCTGCTGTGGCTTGTTCCAGCTTACGGATCCAGGCATTTTTCTGGTGGGTTTGTGGTTGAATTTCTTCCCCCTGGAGCAGCACACAGTGTCCTAGGGACACAGCTCCCTCCCTGGGGGCTACTGGGACCACATGATCCAGCCATGGTGGGGGTGGAAGGGAAAGTCTCCCCACACCCGGCGGCCCTGTGCTATTGCCTCCCACGGCCAAGCCAGCATGATCCTGCATGCTGTTCGCTGCCGCCCGGCTAACCCCGACCCTGCCCCCACTAGCTTCCTGCCCTGCCACCAGAAGAGTTATCTGGGGCTTTGGCTTATTCCTTTGAGCCGCCTGCTGCTGCCGCGGGGTGAGGGGGCGCTGCGGGGAGCAGGGCACGCCAGCCGCTGTGCTGAGCAGGCTTGTTTTGGAAAGCGCCAACCCCCCATTTACTGGCAGGCTGCGGACGCCTGGGGGATGGGGGAGGCAGGAGGAAAACGGAAGCAATCCCATCGTTCTCCTTGAGCAGACTCACCCCGCCCAGCCCCCGCTACCGGGGATGCCTTCCCGAATGTCTCCTGCTTGCCAGCTCCTGCCACCTATTTCTCCTCCCGCAGTCCGACCCCTGGGTCTGTCCCCTGCCTACTGATTGTTGTGGGAGTGGCTCTGTCGCCCGCAGGGGTTAAGGATGCTCGAGGAGGGAATAAGCATCCGGAGCGGATGAGAATCGGATGTTACACCCATGCTGGTGTCCTGCCACGGCCCCTCGTGGCTAGCGAACAGGCAGACACACGCCGAGAGGATCGATCCTCAGGCTCCTGAGTTTGTTCCTTAAGAGAGTCAACACCCCTGCACCCGGCGTCAATGGCCCTAGCTGGTTTACAATGTTCTCTAATGCCTGTGAGTTTCGCCCCTGGCTCCCGTGCCCAGGGCAGGTCCCTGCGTGCAGCCCATGTGGGCTGCTGGTTCTCTGGGTGCTACAGGATCATTTTGAGACGCCCACTCTCAGCAGGTGACTGGTGCTGCGCTTGGGACCCCAACACATCCAGGTGCTTCCCAACACAGCCCCGTGCAGGCAGGGGTCGGAGGAGCTGCTGTCTGCACACTGCCGACTTGACACCAGCGGCAAGAAATCCAGCAGCCTCTGGCTCAGGAGAGAAGTGCTGGCAAAGTTACAGAGGCCTCATTGTCACCTGGAGTTCTCTGCTGACTCATACCCCGGAGTGGCCACTGCCCTCTGCCAGGGGCTGTCTGCCCCCTGGCCACAACAGGGCTATTGTGCCGGGGGGCGGGCAGGTCTGGGCAGAGCCTGGTTTTGCATCTGAAATGGGCCTTCCAGGAGGAAACAGTCTGTTCCTTTCAGGCCTCCCCGTGATTCAGGAGAGCTGAGCCAGCAAAAGACTTCGCAGCCGGGCTGGGCTAGTTATGGCAGGTCCCCCCCCCCGGCCGGCCCCAAGGGGGCGGCCGGCCGC